CACACACACAAAGTTCACACACACACACACACACACAAAGTTCACACTGTGACATACACACAGTAGTTCTGCCAACCTCCGTTCTGCTCCCCCCAGCCCTGGGATATGGTACAGCAGCTGGCAGCATGAAGGTTTGCATTCAACCCCACACACACACCCCCCACCCCACCACAGACACACATGGTCACACATCCCTACACGCAGACACACTCCCACACACAGACAGACACACACCCCCCCACACACACCCCCACACACACAAACCCATGCACACCACCGCAAACACACACACTCTCACACCACCACACACAGACCCCACCCAAAAACACACACACACACACACACACACACACACACACACACACAGTCACACATCCCCACACAGACGGACACACACAGAACACCCCTCTCCCCACCCACATACAGACACATAATACATACACACCCACGCACAGACCCACACAGACAGACACACATAGATCCATACAGTCAGGGACATACACACAGACAAACACATGCAGACAAACACGCACAGACACACACACAACCTCACACATACCCCTACACAGACAGATACCCCCATACATGCAGGCACACACACCCACACTCTTATCACTGACACACACACACACCTCGTATAGGCAATCCAGCCCCTAATGAAGGCTGTATAAACTCTGAGAACCAGTACACTTGCTGGATGTGGAGGGATTTGCATATTTGCAGTAACTAACATGGAAGATTGCTCATTGCTTAGTTTAGATAGATCGTTTGTCCTGGAGTCCCCTACTGTGTGCAATCTGGTTGTCACACTACCAGAACAAGGTGATTGTAGTGGTGAAGGTGCAAAGGAGATTCACCAGGATGTTGCCTGGGATGTAAAGTGTCAGTAGGAGAAAGTTGATAGTCTGGGTTTGTTTTCCTTGGACAGAGGAGGCTGATGGGGGATCTGATTGAGGAATAAAAAAATGATGAGAGGCATAGAGAGTAGATCATGACAATATTTTCCCCTTGGCAGACATGTCTCAAAGGAAAGGACATAAGTTTAAGGTGAGGAGCAAATGGTTTAGAGGAGATTTGAAAAAAAGATTTTTCATCCAGAGGATGGCAGATTTTGGAACGTGCTGCCTGAGAGCGGTGGAGGCAGGTATTTTCATAACATTTAAGCAACGTCTGGAAGAGGACTTAAAATGCCAGGGTATAGTAGGTTATGGGCCAAGTGCAGGTAAGTGGGATTAGTGTAGCTTGGTGTTCATTAGTCAGCATAGACATGGTGGGCTGAAGGCCCTGTTTCTATGCTATATGACTCTGTGACTTTAAGTATATATTATCTCAGGTAGGAGGATATTTCTAAGCACTTATCAGGAGGGAGGTGGGGATAAGTAATGAATTTAAAGGGAAGGGGCCGAGGGCTAGAATCTGTGTGACTGTGATATGGTGAGTGTAGATCAATGGACAGTGATCTCTACCCAGGGAATGGACAGTGATTTCCCCCTAGGGAGCGGTATAGATAAGTTTGGTCATTCCAAACTACCACATTCATCAATGGAGACCTGTGAGCAGCATTTCAGCATTGTGCTAATTTAACAATGCTAATAATGCAGTGATTACATCAGAATGTTTCTGTTAATTGTCATTTAATTTACCGTTGAATCCAAGTGTTTCAGTTCTACACACGTCCGTAAAGACACACATGCGATGGTGAATAGTTGTGTATTTTGATTGTGTGTTGTTTCTCCCAGTGGTATGACCTTGATGCACCAGAACAAGCTGATTTCCCTCTCCAGTACAAAAACACTTTGGATAATTTCCAGAAGCTGCTTCTGCTGCGCTGTTTCCGAGTTGATCGTGTTTACCGTGCGGTGATGGATTACATCACTGTCACAATGGGAGAAACGTAAGTGATTGAATTACCCCGTCATCCCACGGCAACTACAGGAAAATTAAATATCAATAACACAACCATTAAAATGGGTCAGGTTTCTGTGTAGACAGAGTCTGGGACATGTCTGGTAGATATTTATACAATTAACATTTTGATTACTGAAGGTTTTTACAGCTTTACATTTTCTAACAATCTAAAACACTACATTTTTAAACAAATTCTTGCCTAGGAATAAATACAACTGTAGAAGTATAAGGAGCCATTTCTTAATCTGCAGTATTTTCATTGTGACTGGCTATGGGTTCTGTTCTACTGCAAAGATGATAGTGCAGTCTTTCATGTTCAGATATTTATGTAGAATAAAGAAGCATGAAGCACAAAGCTAGGATCTTCCTGTTCTGATCAGTTAGGGTCAGATTAAACCTTTTCAAGCATCAATGATCCCTTTTAAGAACTGCTGATTATCTTTCTGGTTAACAGTACAATTTGTGTGCCAGGAAGCAGAATTTGTTGTTTAAAGTGAGTATGTGTGGATTGCTGCTGTTGTGCTATAATGATGCCCGGTGCTGATTCAGGAATATCAGGTGGCAACAAGAAATCTGAGTCCCTGAGCTTCTTAACACAATTAGAGTCCACTCTAGCTAATAGATACAGGAAAAGTGCAGATGTGTGTCTCTAACACCAGAGTAAATTAGAAAGGTTTCTCTTAAATTGGCCTACTGTATTTATCTCATTTAGTTTCCCTAACCCATATTTGGTTTTATGATTCTCTGGTTTTTTTTGTGGTAGTGGTCTGTGCATTCTGATACTCGCAGTGTAACAATTGTCTTGTTAGTCTCACTAGATGCACTTCTTTTTGTAATAACATCGAACTGCCAAACAGATTTAGAAACATTTTAAATGTTGTTAGCTAAAATTGTTTGAATTTTTAATGTCCCACTTTCATGACATTAATGAGTGCTGACCTAACCCATTTCAATTTTCACCAGGTTTGTTCAACCACCCGTCATTAGTTTTGAGGCCATCTTTGAACAAAGCACAGCAAATTCTCCCATTGTCTTTATCCTGAGTCCTGGCTCGGACCCAGCATCTGACCTCTTAAAGTTGGCTGAGAGGTCAGGTTTTGGAACAAGTAGACTTAAATTCCTTGCCATGGGACAAGGGCAAGAAAAGGTAGATAAACCATATCTGTTGAATTTTAATTGGACAACTGATTATTCCCACTGAGTAATGTGTATGTTTTAAAACATTAATACGTTCTAATTACACTAAGATTCACTTTATAAACCATCACTCAGCTCTGTCATTAGAGCTACAGACATTATATGTTAATTCACCGACCCTGTTCTTGGAGTACTACACCATGTGTCCCACATCAGCATTGTGTTGATGCCCAGTACACAGAGATCTGCAGCCACCGGAAGTGTGAACAGATCCATCCATCTGACATGAAGCAGCTCCTTCATTTCCAATTTTTCCTTTTCATTTCCTTAAGGTGCTGGTATATGTTGGCTTTAAAAAGTTCCAGAGCTTGCTTCAGTACTCATTTTTTATGGGTGAGCTTCCATGAATTATTTTTGCCCAGAGAGTACCTTGCAGTTTGACAAGCATACATGTGCACTCTGTGGACAATAATACGGGAGGTGATCAGGAAGTAGGAACCCAGCTAAGGCAAATGCATCCCTAACTCACCTGGCCTGGCCTAGGCACCATCCCAGCCCCTTACCCAGGACAGACACCATCTGTTGGGATAGGCAAGAACCATGACAGCGGCCTGGGAGCTTGGTCTGTTTGGCTCATTATCTTACTGAAGTCTAGACATCACTGTAGTCACATCAACACTCTAACTGTTTCCATGTTATCCATCTGTCCATTATCTTTACCCATTTAAAATAAATTCAATTGTACCTGCATTAAAATAGAGATGGAAGATAATAAACTAATGATGTATTTGTGTAAAAAAAGACAAAATTATCTCAATGTATGTTATTAAAACTTACTGTGTTCCTTCACTGCAGAAATAAACACAACACTCTAGTAACTAAGGGCCAATTGAATGACTTTGATCATTCTGTGTAAATGTGTAAGGTGTGCCATTTGCTTCCTCTGTCAGGTAGCACTGCAGTTGCTGGAGACTGCTGTAGCCCGTGGGCAGTGGCTGATGTTACAGAACTGTCACCTCCTTGTCAAATGGCTGAAAGAGCTGGAGAAAGCCCTGGAAATGATACACAAACCCCATCCTGATTTCCGTTTGTGGCTCACCACTGACCCAATCCAAGACTTTCCCATTGGAATACTTCAGAACTCACTGAAGGTACATTCAGAATTCTTAGCACTCCAATATTTAGACAAGTAAAATGATAAAGTTGAAACAAAGTACTTGGACCACAGGTATTTCTCCTCCCGTCTTAAAAGCAGTACCTAAAACTGGCCACGGATGCTGACAGTCACCAGAACCTCACCCAAATCCCTATTTCTTTGGATATTGCTATAGCCTTGGTGTACAAGAATAAGAGAGATGAAATAAAGTAATAGGTACAACTCTGAAGGGAGTGTAAGAGCTGAGAAACCAGGGTGTATATGTGCAGAAATCATTGAAGATGGCAGGACAAATTGAGGGAGTAGTTAATAACGTGAACAGCATCCTGAGCTTTATCAATAAGAATATAGATTACAAAAGGAAAGAACTTATACTGAACCTTATGAAACAATGGGATGGCCTCAGCTGAAGTGTTGTGTCCACACATGGTGGGTTCTCCCATTAGCACTTTACTTTATAATAGGAATTTTTTTTTTCTATTCATCTGGGATGTGGGCTTTGCTGGCTGGCCAGCATTTCTTGCCCATCCTTAGTTGCCCCTTGAGAAGGTGGTGCTGAGCTGCCTTCTGAGTACTCTGAAATATCACCTTAAATATCTGCCATTGTGTGTTCAGTGATCAATTCCCTAGCTTAATATGCCTGTTTACTGCAGCCAGCTCAGCTTTCACACCCTTCAGTATCTCTATGCTACTCCAACTCTGACCTCTTGTATATCCCTTGATTTTAATCATTCCATCAGTGTGGCTGTGTCTTCAGTTGCCCGGGCCCCTAGCTCTGGAATTCTCTTCCCATACATCTTTTCCATTTGCCTCTCCTCCTGTCTTCTCTTTCCTCTCCTCCTTTATCCCTTTCCTCTTGCTATCTCCCCTCCTCCTCCTCCTCCTCCTCCTCCTCCTCCTCCTCCTCCTCCTCTTCCCTTCTCCCCCTTCTCTCTCCACCTCACCTTCTCTCCGCCCTCCACTTCTCCTTCTCTCCTCTTCTCCACCTTTCTCTTCGTATAAGGTACTCCTTAAAATCTATTGCTTTGACCAAACTTTCAGTCATGTGCCTGGATATCTCCTCATAAGATCGATATTGAATTTTGTATGATGGTAATCACTCTTGGAGCGTTTTACAATAAATTCAAGTGTGTGCTGCTAACTGAAAAGGTATTTTGAGATCTTTATGATTGAAGCTCCATATTGCTCTGTTGTCACTTTTCTTTAGCTGATTGTTAGCAGCATGCTGGTCAGAAGCACAATATGAAAATGTAACTACATAACTACCCTCTAACCAGTAACAATAGCTAGTTCATACTACCCTCTAATCATTGATAATACTTGGTTCACTACTATCTAATCAGTGACAGTACCCAGTTCACTCCCCTCTAACTAGTATTAGTTCTTGGTCACTGCAGGTCGTTACAGAACCACCCAATGGTCTCAAGCTGAACATGAGAGCTACTTATTTCAAGATCAGTCATGAAGCCTTGAACATGTGCCCCCACACAGCCTACAAGTCACTCATCTACGTGTTGGCATTCTTCCATGCTGTTGTCCAGGAGCGAAGAAAATACGGCAAAATTGGGTGGAATGTCTCATATGATTTCAATGAATCTGATTTCCTGGTGAAGTGGCTTCTAGATTTAATTTTCATTCCATGGATCATTTAACTTGTATATTAGCAATTGGTAGAAAACAAAACTGGGGTTTCACTGGTTCATTGTTTCTTTTTGAGGTAGAGGTGATGTAAATACAGAGGAATAATTGTGTGTTGGTGTGTGTGAGAGAGAGAGAGAGTGAGAGAGTTGGAGTCTCACCAAACTGAACTCGCACTGCAACCTGAATGCAATATTATTCCATTCGCACAAGGAAGACAGGAGAACAACATCACGACAGTTCTGTTGTAAGCGAGGTACAAGGAAGCCCACTGCCGGTTCCTGGAGGAAACTCACACCCTTGTGAAGAACTAGGGTTAGGATTGAGAATTGGTGTATGTGGAAATGGGTAGACAAGTCCTTGTGAATGACTTACCTGGCATTGTTCTATCTGCTCCGTGTGTTACCATGTGACAGCATCATATGACATGCATCAGACTGTGTCTGTTATAAGCAAGTGTGAGAAATATGTTTTACTTTACACATCAATGAAAAAAGGCAGAATTCAATGAAAATTAATGGAAATTTCTCAGCATTTTTCCAACACAACACATTTCCCAAACAATTTTTATTTCACAAAGGAAACTCATTTGTCTTTCTCTCCCTGTACCTCAGGTCTGTATGGAGATCCTGAAAACATACCTGACCAAGGCTTTTGATCAGAATGACACCAAAATTCCCTGGGGCAGTCTGAAGTATTTGATTGGGGAGGTACAGTATCTCTCATTCTTTTTACTCACTGTCCCTAGGTGTCCTTGAGAAAGCAAGCTGCCTTCTTGAACAACTGCACTCCATGTCAGACTATTTATTAATTTGCAGAGAAAACTACAATCAACAATATGGTTTGCTGATAATTTCTGAAAGTCTTTAGAATGTTCTTCTTGGAATGAAATACAAACATATTTCTGACCATGACATCAAAGTCTAATAGCATATTCCAGTTTGGTACTGAGGGAGTGCCACACGACCAGAGGGTTAGTGCTGAGGGACGTCTGCACTGTTCAAGGGTCAGTATTGAGGGAATGCTGCACTGTCAGAGGGTCAGTGCTGAGGGAGTGCCGCACGGTCAGAGGGTTAGTGCTGAGAGAATGCTGCACGTCAGAGAGTCAGCGCTGAGGGAGCGCCGCACTGTCAGAGAGTCAGCGCTGAGGGAGCGCCGCACTGTCGGAGGGTCAGCGCTGAGGG